TGCTAATATTTCCACATAGTGACGTAGACATGTGGGGGCGTGTTAGAACGAGCCGTTTTAGGTAGGCGTGGTTGACTCTTAACTTTTATAAAGAATATCTCTTTGGATTTGAGACTTTAGTCTTTGCAACTTTACAGATCTTCTTTATGCACCAAGAGCTTGAAACACTCAAAGAGAAAGGAACACTTGAAATCGCATCATATGACCCCTTTAAATTTGAGTTTCATGCACCATACTGTACAGACACAGCTCAAAGCAGGACCTTAAAGGGACAGTTCACCCCAAAATGAAAAATCTGTCATCATTTAGTCAGCCTCAAAACCGGCATGACGTCTGCACAACACAAAAGAAGATGTTTTGAAGAATGCGGGTGAACAAACAGTTTTGGATACCATTGACTTCCATTGTATGGACAAAACACATCGAGGCATTTCTCAAAATATCTTCTTTTGTGTTCCACAGAAGAAAGAAACGCCAAGAGGGTGAGGAAATGATGACAGAATAGTACTTTTTGACTGAACTAAGTACATTTTTGGCAGTTGATTTTATATTTCAAGAATTGCTTAATCCAAACCTATTTGTTGAATAGTTTGTGTACATTTTGTTGCAGTTTTTATGAGCTCATATTAATTGGTATACATTAATTATCTGAAGTTTGAAAAATAATATTGTCCATTGCAGGGCCAACTGTGAAAAAACTAAAATATTATTAAAAATGGTAGAAAACCCCATGTGCAGTATGTACACTACTACTCAAATGTTAGAGTCGGTAAGACTTTTGAATGTTTTTAAATATAGTAAAACAGTAATCATTTAAAATAACAGTTGTTCATTTTAATATACTTTATGTAAGTTTTATGCAATATGTTATGTAATTTAGTCCTGTGATGGCAAAGCTGAATTTTCAACAGCTGAATAAAAGTATGAATTTCTTAAAAAAAAAAAAAAAATCACTGATTCCAAATCTTAGGCCTAAAATCTTTAGCACTGCACAGAAATGTCACAATGGGTCACAGGGCGATTATACAAAAGTTATTACAATGTGTAGAGCCGCTTATATCAGTTAGTACAAGCTCATTGTAGCGGTCAAACTTCATTTCATTGGAGTTTTAATAGTTAATAGCTAAGCTAAAGGTCACATGATTCTATAATGTTAATGTTAAACCTGACAGCCTTCATATTTGAACTAATGAACTGAATTAAATGTTCATCACTGATACGTTTGGCAGTATTTCAAATAATAAAATTAACACCAAAATGTTTTTTTTTAATGATGATTGGCAGATGAATCATATCCCTGTAAACAATTGTATTAGCTATTTATAACACATGTAAATAATGTTCACTGAATTGACTACATACTGAATTTCCGACTGTATTCATTTCTGAATTCCTTCTGTCATCATTGAATAACTGAGCATCTCTCGTGCACCTGGGCAGATTTGGGTCTCCTGATGAAGTCGTGCATCGATCAGGGTCAGCTGGTTCCCGATGATGTCATCTCTCGTCTCATCCTGTCCAGTCTGAGGGGTCTGGAGCAGAGCAGCTGGCTACTGGACGGTAACTCTCACCCCGCTCACCTGAGCCATGTTACTGATGAAATGTGCAGTTTAAATGTGCTCGCCCTGTCCCCGCAGGGTTTCCTCGTACTGTGGCTCAGGCCGAGGCCCTGGACAGCGTGTACGATGTGGACTCTGTTATAAACCTGGACGTGCCTTTCCAGACGATCCGAGAGCGTCTGACGTCTCGCTGGGTGCACCTTCCCAGCGGCAGGGTCTATAATATAGACTTCAACCCACCTAAGAAACCAGTGAGTCCTCTGATCTTTTCATATTCTAGATCATTCCCTCATGCTGCTGTTGAGATCTTCACAATCCCATTTAGCAGCACTTCAGGAAACTGTTGATAATTAAAGGGGTCATATGATGCGATTTCAATTTTTCCTTTCTCTTTTCATTTTAAATAATGAGCCTCAAGACAGCAGGTGAGTGTGTTAAACTAATACAGCACTAGCCCAGTGTGAAACCGTGCTTGTCAGTGTTGCTCAAATCCAGCTCCAAAGCTTATGTCAACACTAAACTGTGCGCCTGAAGGTCACCTCTGCTTAGCTCTGGGATTTATCAGCGTCTGCCGAAGATTGTTGATGCTTTCAATACAGGAATTCCTAAGATGCAGTGGCTTTAATTGGATGATTATTGCACATTTGAATGTTTTAGCGTGTTTGTGGTGCTTATACCTTATGCTTATAATCAGTGGTCTGTCTCTGTTGTGCACAGGGTCTCGATGATGTCACAGGAGAACCGCTGGCCCAGAGAGACGATGACAGTCCCGAAACTGTGTCCAGGCGACTCAAGGACTACGAGAGACAGACACAACCAGTTCTAGAGTATTACAGGTACTGCACAGAAACCACAGTTTCAAAGGCGTAGTTTGATGACGCCGTGACTGAGTGTGGAATCATGGGAGTTGTCGTCTTCATCTCCACAGCCGAAGCAATCCGACGGGACTCGGGCAGAAATCATGTTCATGGATGAGCTAATGATTTGTTAACGTAGTAGGATGAAGCAGGTGAGGCTTAAGCCGTTGAAGCGAAGCGAGGCGCTGAACGAGCGTGACACACGGCTCGAAAGCAGCGGAGCTTTTATTATGTAAGTACACAAGTCAGCAAAATATATAACACTGCTATAGTGGTTTTTGGATACTTTAATAAAAAAATCTTACATATTGTGCCTTTAACTAGTTATAAAAATGAAGACAAATATATTACTGTTGTAAATTACAATTATACTGTAGCATAAAAAAAATCAATAGTTAATAGTAATTATCATTTTAATTTGATTTGCACTACAAGTTACAATGCTATTTTTTTTGTCTTAAATTCTTCACTTTCAAACATTCAAACTTTTATCATTTAAGTTCCTGGACTGGAGCTTTTATTTTGCTGAAACGCTGTAAATGTAAATGTGAAATTGTGTAAATAAAGTGAACCCAAGTGCAAGTTGCGATCCAAAATACATGTTAAATTCGCAGCACAAGCAGAGATGGAGTTTTACTGTGAAGCAATAAGACTCACGAAACCCCTGTCTGGGAAGCCCTCAGTTACACATGAATTGTCACTGGTTCTCCAATGTCCGGTTCAAAGGAAGAAAATCACTTATGTGAGATTTTGGGATGTTGATGAGGAAGAACGATTCCTTTAAGCTGGACTGATGGTGTCACTTAATATGAATACTGAGGTGTTTGAGCCATAACATATGATATTCTCCCTACTTCTACTTGAACAGGAGTAAAGGAGTATTGGAGACCTTCTCAGGAACTGAAACCAACAAGATATGGCCTCACGTTCATGCCTTCCTGACCAGGAAAATCCCAGGAAACCAGCAGGCTGTGGGAAAAGCGTGATTGCACAACCACCTTGAGGACTTTCACCACAGCTGATCTGAAGTACACTGTTGGACTCGAGCACAATGCACCTCTGTGGCCTTAAGTAGTCTACTGTATTTGCCGAAGCCTTTGGTGTCACCATCTGCTTTTATGCCTTTGTGAGAAAGTTCGCACCAAGGTTTATGATCAAACTATAGTCTCATGAGCTGTAGCGCTGCCATCTTAAGCAAACTAGAGTTTTAGGCATGCTAAGATTAATAGTTGACTCCAAAGTTAATAATTTCAGCATTACACTTGCCAGAAGTGCCCAACTAATTTTTTTTTTTAACTGAAGTGGCTGCAAAGTGTGGACACAGCAGCTCCAAAACATTTATGTTTATTATCCACGACAGCATTTTAATATGATTGAGATTTGTGCATACTAGAGAAGAAAAGTATTCATTTAAACATTTCCCAGATGAATGCAGTGCAAAATTAGGATTTAGACCTGATTTTTGAATGTTCTGACTTTTGTTTTTGTGAACCACCGTGGCCTTAATTAGTAAAAACACTAATTATGAGTCTGATGATTGTAGATCATATGAACCATGTTATTTTTTTGCATATACAAAATAATGTATTTTTAATTAAGAAAGTTTTGCACAATATGATAATTAATAAAGGGAAAGAAAATCAATCATGTGTAAAAAAATGTGTATTGATAAACTATTACTGTGTGGTTATGAAGGCCACAAATGAAGTGCAGTGCTAATTCGTTTGTTTATGCATTTAATTTTGTGGCACAGTTTGCGAATCACTGTATAAATTGTAGTGACTGAAAACCCTGCTATTGAATATGAATAAAATAAGTGTAATGCAAAGCATGGCATTTCAGAAAGCAGGTAGTGAGCTTTGAAACAACTGCAATAAACACAGTGAAGCTCGACTCGTTCTAGTTTTTCTTTTGGTAGTAAATCATATGAACAGCTCTAGATTTTATATATAATAACACTGTTTACAATATATTTTTGTACCTAAAGATTCACTAAATATCCTTAAAAGAAATGAAGACAATTTTCTCATCAATCTCTTAAGAACAATTCAGTATTTTCTCAATCACTCACATTTGTGTTTTTACAACACCTTCACATATATTAACTTATTAAAATTTGATGACCGATGCCTTATGATCCTTTTGTTGAGTGGACGTGCCGAAACAGCATGTATCGTACATTTGATCCTACTTTCATGCTTTCAGCCGTGCTTTGTCAACCAAAAAAGCCCCTCCCTCTAAAAACAGCACATTTTGAGCCAGTTTATTGCCTGCAAGTACAGAGAGCTAGCCAACACATTTATAAAATGCTAAGAAAGAAGTTATTTTAATAATAATGAACTGCATTAAAGATTTAAGGGTCTAAAGATTTAATTGAGGATTTTGATCTGATTGTAAAGACTTGCACAATGTCATCACAGCCATCAGTTAATGTTACACAAATCGTGGTTTGCTGTATATGTTCTTTGTGCAGTACAAGCAATGCAAACTAGCTGGATGCGACAAGCTAACAGCATTTGCGGCGTTTCAATGCAATTACTGCAATCATTATCAGTCAGTTTGATGGTGTTTTGTAGGGATAGTTCACCCAAAAATTAAAACTCATCATTTACTCGCACTCATGTTGTTCCAAACATGTATGACTTTCTTTCTTCCATGGAAAATGCAAGAAGAGATATTTAGAAGAATGTTTCTTGTTTTCGACCATATAATGAAAGTCAATGGGGTCCAAAACAACACTGATTGGATGCCATTGACCGTCACTGTATGAATAAAACATTTTTGTGTTAAACATAAGTCACACAGGTTTGCAGTAACATGAGATTGAGAAATAATGATTTTTGGGTGAACTATCCCTTAAACGTACGTTATTTGTTGCTTTTGACAATATATTAAACACACTGTTTTCATTTTGATAGTGAATGTGAATCTCTTTCATTATAATTGTAGGTAACAACCCTATATTGCTGGCTTTCATGCCATACTACTGGACCTACAAATGACCTTTTGCAAAGGTCTTGTTTCCATCGTGAAGATAGCAGAATGGGAGGTCCGGCTTCGCCTTATTGTCGTTTGTCTATCTGCAGGAAGCCGACTGTTATCTGCCGCATCCACGCACAGATGACACATGAAACAGTTCCCTGATAGCAGCTGGAGTCTGAATGTTCAGTGGACGTTGTAGATTACAATCCAAAGGTGGAGATATGAAAAAAACAAAGAACATGAGACAAAAGCTTGTACCAACTTCCTAAACTTTTTTTCTGAAACGCTAAAACAGAAGAAAAAGATAGCAACAGAAATGTAACAAAAATAGAAGTGCCTCAAAATTCAGTTCCCTATCTCTTTTAAAATACTTTCTCTTTTAAACAAATATAAAGTGCAGCACACATTCAGGCACGGATACAAATCAAACGTCTCTGAGCACAGCCCTTGTATTTCCTGTCCTGCCGCCCAAAGCTGTTTTCCTAGTGAAGTTTCGTCTGCTAGCTCTCCATCATTCTCCACTCGTCCGTTTCTGAACTCTCTTCTTTGGAGGCTCATGGTGTATTTGTCCAAAGTCCTGCCTCCAAGCAACGCTTGACGTGGTATTCTGCCACCTGTTATGAGCGAGAAAGAGGATATTAATAACTAACAGGAAAAGACACTTGCAGCTCAGAGATCAGTATGAGGAACAGGAAGTGAGCTGCACACTTTACAGAATACTGATCAAAAATGCATATAGTTCACCTAAAAATGTAAATTCTGCCATCATTTACTCAGTCGTGGTAGTCCAAAACTGTGTGAGTTTCTTTCTCACATCGAACACGAAAGAAACTTTGAAGAATGTTGTTGCTGCTCTTTTCCATACAATGAAACTGAATGGTGACCAAAAATCACATTTCAAATTATAAATGAATAAATCATTTAAATGTTTTCTTAGGTGCTTTCCTCAGTAACATTGTCTGTAATATTTATTAAATTCTGCTCACCAAGGTTGCATTTATTTACTCAAAAGTACAGACAATTAATATTGTGAAATATTATTACAATTTAACTGTTTTCTATTGTAATATATATTAAAATGTAATTTATTTCTGTGAACAAAGCTGAATTTTCAGCATCATTACTCCAGTCTTCAGTGTCACATGAAGAAATCATTCTAATATGTTGATGCTCAAGAAACATTTATTATTATGATGTTGAAAATAGCTGTGCAGGTCAAAGTGGTTGTGAAAACTTTGATACATTTTTTAAAATTGCTTCATGAATTAAAAGTTCAGAATAGAAATCTTTTCAATCACAAATGTCTTGTAACATTATAAATGCCACTTTTGGTAAATTGAATGCGCCTTCGGTGAATAAAAGTATAAAATCTAAAATAATAAAATCTTAGTGACCCTAACCTTTTGAATGGCAATTTAGGGACTCGTATAGTCAACTTTTATGGTGCATTTTTTTTCATTTTGGAGCTTTAAAGTCCCCATTTAATTTCATTATATGGAAAGGAGCAGCATGAACATTCTACAAAACATCTCATTTTGTGCTTTACAGAAGAAAATGAGTCATACAAGTTTGGAACGATATGAGGGTGAATAAGTTACATCATTTTAATATTTGGGTGAACTATCCCTTTAATAACCCATTATAATCTGCACATCCTCCCTTATGCAGATCTGCAGGGCTGGAGGAGGGATTATAGGTCCGCCTGGATTCTGATGAATGCAACGCTCTTGCAGATTAGAGCTGTTATGCTATTCTTTCTGTGTCCTTTGGCTCTCATTCAGCTCGTCTGTGTCAGGTTCAGAGCATGTGCTCTCTGTGGTGAAAAGTGAAAGTGATGGAGAAAGTGTTCAAGAGCCTGACCCCTTAACCCCTAAATGACGCTGAAACATGCCATAATGTTTTGGTTACACTTCAGACAATGCTGCATGCTTACGAAAGCTGAAATTTCTGATTCAAAATGATTAAAAAATCGTTTTTTAAAATTTGATTCAGATGGAGCCCTGTACTAAACTACTTTAACAGCAGCATCACAACACGACTACTAAATCCACAAAAGTACAAAAATAGTCAATAAGCAACAGAAATCAAGAGAAATCAGAACCTGAATGAGAATGGTTAAGTTATGAAGTGCTGGTTGACACGTTCTGATGTGTTACAGCATAAAGCTCCAGCTTTACCTGCGGGTTCATGCTGCTCAGCACGTTCTGAAGAATCGGCATATCTTGCATTTGGATGCATGTTTTCAGTTCCTGCAAAATCAACATTTGACTCATTTTATATTTTGTTACTGGCTACACTACCATTTAAAAGTAAAAAAAAAAAGAATGTAATCATTTTATTCAGCAAGGACACATTTAACTGATCAAAAGTGACAGTAAAGACGTTTTCATAGTCATAAAATAAATTCAATTTCAAATAAATGCTGTTCTTTTGAACTTTCTAATTAAAGAAAAAATGTTTTACAGTTTCCACAAAAAATATTAAGCAGCACAACGGTTTTCAAAATTGATAATCATAAATGTTTCTTGATCAGCAAATCAGCATATTAGAATGATTTCTGAAGGATCATGTGACACTGAAGACTGGAGTAACGATGCAGAAAATTCAGCTTTGCATCACAGGAATAAATTACATTTTAAAATATATTCACATAGAAAGCAGGTTTTTTTTTTATTCTAATAATATTTCACAATATTGCTGTCTTTACTGTATTTCTGATCAACATTTCTTTCATACATTTTGTCGTAGCTCAGTGTCTATTTACAATGCATTACAAAGTCCCGTGGCACAGTGAAATCTCATTGGTCCAAAATAATTCTCTACATTACTGTACATCAAACATGAAGTATGTTCTGATTCGCTGTGCTTTGGTTGCTTCATACAGATTTTTTTCTGTCAGTAAGGACCATAAAATGACTTGATTACAGCACATAAAACTGAGAGATTCGATTATCTTTCGTACCGGTGGCAAAGACTCCAAAACCTCCTTGGGGTCGAGGCGACAGCCTGGTGGTGTGTTTTGGTGCACTGGATCCTTTGGGGTTTCTCCTTTTGATTTCATGGTATACACTTTAACTCTCTGCTTAAAGGCGTTGAGTTCTGTGTGGAAGACATCCAAGTATCCCTCCTGCCCTGCCTTAAAATAGAAGCAAAGCAAGATTAAAAATGATTCAGAATGCATTCAGTAAAAATATGAATGAGGTTTATCATATGACATGGATGAATGCGTGGACATGAACTTCATCTGTGCCCATATTGCTTGTTTCCTGGCCTCAGGCTCTCAGTTATGTCATGTCTCACTCCAGTGGTCACTGCCATTATTGCACAACACTCGCACTGACTCAGATTGACTGCACTACCAGTCAGTTCAGAATAATTACGATTTTTTTTTAATGTTGTTCAAAGAAGTCTCTTCTGCTCACCAAGGCTGTTACAGTAAAAACAGTAATATTGTGAAATATTATTACAATTTAAAAGTTTTCCATTTCAATTAAATGCTGTTCATTGAACTTTCTATTCATCAAAGAACCATTATAAACAATTAAGCACCAATAATACTTGATAATAACTAAGCATCAGATCAGCATATTAGAATGATTTCTGAAGGATCATGTGACACTGAAGACTGAAGTAATGACTGCTGAAAATTCAGCTTTGCATCACAGGAATAAATTAGATTTTAATGTATATTAAAACAGAAAAACGTTATTTTAAATTGTAATATTACTTTACAATATTACTATTTTTATTGTATTTTTGATCAAATACATGCAGCCTTGGTGAGCATTCCTTCAAAAACATTTATTGTTGGACTTTATTGTACCTCTCCGGCTAAATAACTCATGCACAGTAAGAGATAATATCTTGTCTAGGACTGTCACTAACAATAGTATTAGTGACAGTTTTCAGTCAATTATTCTGACGATTAATCGAGTAATCAAACTTTTTTTTTTTGTGGTAATAAAAATAGACCTAAGCAAACAATAGACTTTAAAATGACTTAAAATACATATATAATAGCAGTGAGACAATAATAATTGGTTCAAATAAAATATCAAAAGCAAGTAATCATATGGTTTTACTGAAAACAGTTAAAATACATAATTTAATAAAACAATATAATCATATTCATAACTTATGTACATTATGTACTATACCTAATGCCAACAGAGGCGCCAAAGGCCTGTTTTTACACTTTACAGCGAGATCTAAGACTTATTGTCTAAACAACTTTTAATTCAAATGTCCACTTAATCTTTAATATTTGGCCACTTTATGATAGAAATGCTACAGCCACTGTCAATTCTTAAACAAGAACATGTGGACATCAAAACAAACAAACTAAAACGAGGGTTTATACTTTTATTCTGAAGTCCCAATGAACGGTCAGCATATTTAGAAATATAATGCTGTAATCTCCTGTGTTGTCATAGGTTTATAAATGATTTACCTGATAAATCTGATAGAATGGTGCACATTGTTCCCAGATGAACGTTATAAGCAACTCAGACTCACAGCATATGCAGAGATGGAGTTTGAGACGCTCCGCGCATGTAAATGATGACCGTTTGTGTGGAGCAGCATTTACTGTGAACGGAGCCGTAACCTATATGCATATAAAGCGCATATTAAAGCCGCAGCGCATATATTTATTTAAAGGGGTCCTGTTATGCTCTTTTACAAAGTCTTGATTTTGTTTTGGGGGTGTACTAGAACAGGCTCTCATACTAGGTTGTTCGAAAAACATTATTTTTCACATATTTTACATTATTACAACACCTCTCTCCCCAGTCTGGCATGAACGGCTCGAATAGTTCCTGTATCAAATAGGGGTGTAACGGTACACAAATATGACAGTTCTGTACGTACCTCGGTTTTAACGTCACGGTTCGGTATGATTTCGGTACAGCAGGGGGAAAAACTTTTTTTTTAAAAATGGTTTACTGAACAAGTTGCTCTTTCTTTAAATACATTCAGTTATAGTTTAAATGTTCTTAGTGATAAAAATCTACCTCAGCTTATGCTTAAAACTATAGGGAGCCCTTTTACATTATAAGGTTACAATTAGGCCTAACAACTTAACCCAAACTTAAATTTAATTACTATTTATTTTTAAATAGATGATCAACACTCAACTTTAAAAAATAAAAAAATAAATAATTGTATGCAAACATGTAAACTGCACATAATGCAGTTTTTAAATTAATTTATAAATAATAAAATTGGCAGCACTCGGCGGCTGGTCGGGAAATGTCACGCCCCTTAGCATAGCCGCCTGCCAGCTTCAGTGTAAATATTGCATCAAAATCAAATAAATTTGAGCGCGATTTAAACCCAGATGATTGTAACCACTCTAAGTTCGTCTACCTTGGGAAAGCTAGCGTGTCTCCGACATAGTGATAACACTCGTTGCCTTCTCTAGGGTATCTCAACCAGGTATCATCCCATTTGTCGATATTTGTGATATCACAAATCCTGGAAAATATGCGTTGTAGTCCAAACGAGTCATTCCTTGTAGTTTTTGAAAAGTGATTTCTGTTAAATAAAATATCTCCTTTTGAAAAAAATTTGAATTGAATTTTGAATTGACTGAGCTTTTTAACTTCGCAGATCTTTTTTATGCTCAAACAGCAACATCAGGTGATGTCTGCAGCATTGCAGTACACTGCAGATGTGAGCCTTACTTTGGCTTTCTGAAAGAACTGACGGAAACAGCCTCGTGGGTCTTGCTGAGAGTTGCGGGCCATTTCCAGAATAAACTGCATGACGACTGCCTGATGAGCCACCTGCTCCATTAAGGCCTCTTTCTGCAGAAGATCCAGACAATCGGGATCAGTAGTAGGTCATGTGGGGACACAGTACATAGTGCACATACTGCAGAAACAGTACAGGTGGTATGTTATTTTGAACATGGCCAGAAAGAGCACTCACTTGCACTGCCTGCAGACGGAAGCACCACAGGATCAGGTAATTGGCCGTTTCTTCACAGATGAGATGGTGATACTCTGCTAGAAAGCGCTGACTATCATCCCACCTCCTCAACATACCTGTCCAATCAGAACAGAGAGGACAACCTCCATTCAGATGAACAGTCTCCATTAGTAAACATCCAAATCAAACAAGCTCCATGACTTACCAAAATGTTTCAAGAGTTCTTCATTACGCTGGATGAAGCTTATGTTCTTATCATGATCGGATTCATCAGGCCAAGACTGTGAACTGTTTATTATACTCTAGGAAAAAAAAAAAAAAAAGTTTGATGGTGGTAAATCCACAAACGGGCCACAAAAGAGTCCATTACTGCTGGTACAACACTGTACTAGTTATTTTGTATCGGCTCTTAATTTATATACTTAAATTAAATGTGATATCAATAGGATGTCACTTCTGAAATATGCTGAGGACATGGCTTTGGTAACTTGTTTGACATGAGCAATCCCTGGATAGTGGATTACTCCACAGGTAGTGGAGCAGGTCGAGGCCTTTACATATTTGAGCACTGAGATTGACAGGCATCTATCATTTACACAGCAGGCGAATGGTTTCTATAAGAAGGCTCAACAGCGATTATCTCTTTTCAGAAGGCTGAAGGGTTTCACATTTTTACCAATAAATTTCCATGACTTTTGAGACAATATTCATGACCTAATGTTCCATTATTTTACAACAAGAATAAAAATCTATTCAAATTTATCATAGCATGTGTTAACTAAAATAAATTACTATTAATGCTACTTGTTTGCTTTCTATTTGTTTTAATAATAATAATAATAATAAGTACAAGCTGCAACTGTATCAGAACGAAAATGGAAAAAGGACAGGCTGCATATCTCTCTTCAAATGTTTAAAGACTCTCTTACATCTTACTAGACTGCTGCTAAGTCTGCGAAAGCTGCATACTTTTCTAATCTAATTGAAACGAATCACTCTAAACCTAAGGTTTTGTTTTCAATTATTCAATCTGTTGCAAATCCCTCTGTTAACACCTTGCCTGTTGCCTCTGATGCTCTCCGTGAAAGCTTCTTGAGATATTTTAGTGACAAAATTACTAACTTAAGACTTAGCGTCTGCCCCACTTTAACTTTAACTGTCTCTCCTATCATGTCATCTGCCTCTGCCTTTTTGGATGCTTTCGAACCTATCAACCTGAAGGAGGTGATTGACAAGCTTAAACCTTCATTCTGTTCTAGCGATATCATTCACCCGAGATTTTTAAAATTAATTATCGATTCGATTGGGCCAGGTTTGGTGTCTCTTATTAATAAGTGTCTTTAAACTGGCTCGGTTCCTGCCAATCTTAAAGTGGCTACGGTCACTCCTCTGCTCAAGAAGCCTTCACTGGATCCTTCTGTCCTAAAAAGATTTTGGCCAATTTCTGTCTTACCTTTCATTTCAAAAGTTTTGGAGAAAACTGTGCTGAATTAACTTCAACGTTTTCTGACAAGTAATTGTATTTATGAGGTTTTTCAATCTGGTTTTAAGTCTGCTCACAGCACTGAGTCTGCCCTTTTGAGAGTGTTAAATGATATTTATCTCTCCACTGATTCTGGAGACGCTGTGGTTCTTATTCTTTTAGATTTATCGGCCGCTTTTGACACCGCAGACCACTCCACACTATTATCTAGATTAGAGTCTTGGGTGGGTCTAAAAGCAAACGTTCTGAAATGGTTTCAGTAATACCTGTCTGACAGAAAGTTTTTAGTGAAGCTGGGTAATTTCACCTCTTCTCCTGCACCTCTGACCTGTGGAGTTCCACAAGGCTCTATTTTAGCTCCCTCTCTATTTTCTCTTTACATGCTACCTCTGGGCTCTATTCTAAGGAAACATGGTGGGTCTTTTCCTTTCTACGCAGATGATACGCAAATCTATCTATCAATCAATAGAAAAAATTCCACTGCGATTTCTTCTCTTCTGCAATGTTTAGAGGAGGTTAAATCATGGCTAGCCCAAAATTCCCTCTTCCTAAATGAAGACAAGACCGAGGTAATTGTTTTCGGTCCAAATGAGAACTTTCAGTGTATAAGCCCGGAGTTGGAAAGTTGATCCGTTTTTAGATCCTCACGGGTGCAGAACCTAGGTGTTCTTGTTGATCAGCATTTAAAATTTGATAAACATATCTCTTCTGTTATCGGATCAGCTTCGTTTACTGTCTAAAATTAAAACTTTCTCACTCCTAAAATTCTAGAAATGGCTGTTCATGCATTTGTTACATCTCGTCTAGATTACTGCAATTCTTTATATTGCGGTATATCTAAGTCTCAAATTGTGCATCTTCAGCTTGTCCAAAACGCTGCGGCTAGACTTCTTTCAAAGTGTCGTAAACATGAACACATCACTCAAATTCTTAGATCCCTACACTGGTTGCCGGTTTGTCAGAGAATAGACTTTAAAATTCTCCTTTGTATATAAATCCCTACAAAACCTTGCTCCTGTCTACCTCTCTAAACTTCTTCATCTCTACACTCCGTCTAGAAGCCTACGATCCTGTGACCAGGCTTTGTTGGTAGTCCCTCACGTTAGGCTTAAGCATAGAGGGGAGCGTGCATTTGCGGTGGCAGGGCCACGACTTTGGAATACCCTGCCTTTAGAGATTAGAACGGCCCCTTCTCTGTCTGTTTTTAAGTCCTTGCTAAAAACGTATTTGTTTTCCTTAGTGTACTGACTACTGTTTTTATGGTTATTTTTAAACAGGTTGTTTTTATTTTTGTTTTTTGTCTGGTCTGTTTTCTGTGTATTTTTTATAATCCTGCTCTTGTCAGCCTGGTGGCTGTTGTAAATGTGCTATACAAATAAAAATGAACTTGAACTTGAACAGATGTTACTCCATGCAGACAACATATCGTATTGTAATTTGCTTAACCAATATTATCAGTTAAACTCAGGACCTGAGGTTTCAGTCTAACAGTAGTATTCAGGTACAAAAATAAACAAAAATGTAATAAACTGTACATTCAAAACAGATTAAAGTTACAAAAGTTGAGTGAGTGATTTTCTGTTTTTTGTTGTTCGATTAACATTAATGACAGACGGCACAGCTTTATTAGACTGCTGTCACAAGACACAATGCACAGATCCAATACTGATACACATGTGTTTTCTTTCTCAACTGTTTATATTCACTTAAGACAAACCGACTGTGTTTATGAGGATACTCGCCAGGACAGCCATTTTGATGTCATTTTGTCAAAGTGCATGTTTAAGTGCAACGAACTGCGAAAAATATCTCAATATTATACTCGCCAGGTGGCTTTATGTGCGCGCGCATTGGATGTGACTGTGAGCGCACAGAAAGCCTTCGGAGCACTCGAGTACCGAATGGCTTAAAAAGACTTACAAAAAGATGTGCAAATGATACATTTTTGTGACGATGCAACAATGACCCGATTAGTCAAGTGACAGTTCTGTCAACTGTCCCCGAAACGCGAGTGAAAGTCTCGTATCGCAGCGTGCAGCAGCTCTTGTAGTGCAGGCAAGATGCGAGAGAGAGAGCAATACCGCTGAATCACTCGGTCTGTGTGGATTTATTTCCTCATCTAACCTACATGCTATATTGAACAAATGTGTGCAGGAATTTCCCTCATTTTAAACTCGAAAGCTGTGGGAATGAGTAAAACTATGCAAACTATGCACAACCCCACACCGAAATTCAGGACCTGATTAACATAATTCTATTATACAGAGATTTGTGAAATAAATTTTCATGACTTTTCCAAAACTTTCTGGGTTTATTTATTTTTCCAAAACACAGATTCAACTTTTAGATCTTTATAAGTGTGCTGTAAAGAGGAAAGCAGTTTCCATGAGATTTACACAAAATTGTTGAAAAAAGCACTTAAGTTACACAATATTTATATTGTGTAAGCCTACTATCCACTGACAATGAAAGATACTTTTTTTGAATAATGAACTTGAATGTCATTTCAGGCTGAATATCCTGCATTAATTCACATTCATTATAAGGAAAAGAGTGGCCAGGATGTTTAGCATAATGCTAGTGGTTTGCAAGAATCAACTATTATATCACACGGTTAAAAATATTTAATTTAGTTTCAGAACTAATATCTGAGTGGAAGTCTATATTTGAAAAAATATAGTACCATTCAAAAGTTTGTGGTCGGTAAGATTTTTAAATGTTTTGAAAGAAGTCTCTGCAATGCATTTATTTGATAAAAAATACAGTAAAAATAGTAATATTGTGAAATGTTATTACAGTTTTAAATAACAGTTTTCTATGTGAATATATTGTAAAATGTAATTTATTTCTGTGATCAAAGCTGAATATTCAGAATCATTACTCCAGTCTTCAGTGTCACATGACCCTTCAGAAATCATTCTAATATGCTGATCTGATGCTCAGTTATTATTGGCACTTAATTATTAACAATGTTTCTTACTATTTTCATTCTTGAAAACGAGTTAGTGGAAACCATGATACTTTTTTTCAGAATTCAAAGAAAGTTCAATATTTGACAAATATTTTTTAACATTATAAATAAATTTACGGACATATTTGATCAATTTACTGTTCCAGTGTTGAATGAAAAGTAATAATTAAAAAAATAATAATCTAAACTTTTGAATGGTAGTGTACATTTAGCTGACCATAAGAAAGTAACACACTGTGTACATATATTATACATTTCTTTGCTCTTAACCCTGTCCCAAAACATCACAGCCCTCTCTAGGGGAAATGTCGTCACAGTGGACTGTTTCTTACAATGCAGAGATAAGTATGAGATGAACACTGAATGACTTTTCTTGAGTGCTGATATGAGATACCTTGTCAAACACATCACGGCTGGCCTCGGGGCACAGAGTGGGGCTCCGTCCCAGCATCCTCTCTTTATGCCTCCACTCCTGCTCGGTCTGAGAGAGCTCCGCGGAGGAGGCCATGGCTCGGGCGTGCTCCTGCTCCACAGACTCTGAGCTGTGGAGCTCCAAACCACAGAGCTGGTCCTGTGCCTCGACCAGCTGCCACTGCGACGCGATCGAGGCCTTCACACAGCGCTGCTGACTCAAGCACAGAGACGCCATGCTCTCCGCACTGGGCTGTGATGGGACACAGAGAGATAACGCTCACAAAACCTCGAGCAAATCATTACAGTTGGTTTTGTAACAGATTCGGTGCGAAAGGCCCTAAAGTTAAGACACTGCCACGCCCCCCTAAAACGGCTCGTTCTAACACGCCCCCACATATCTAAATATTTAATTTAGTTTCAGAACTAATATCTGAGTGGAAGTCTATATTTGAAAAAATATAGTACCATTCAAAAGTTTGTGGTCGGTAAGATTTTTAAATGTTTTGAAAGAAGTCTCTGCAATGCATTTATTTGATAAAAAATACAGTAAAAATAGTAATATTGTGAAATGTTATTACAGTTTTAAATAACAGTTTTCTATGTGAATATATTGTAAAATGTAATTTATTTCTGTGATCAAAGCTGAATATTCAGAATCATTACTCCAGTCTTCAGTGTCACATGACCCTTCAGAAATCATTCTAATATGCTGATCTGATGCTCAGTTATTATTGGCACTTAATTATTAACAATGTTTCTTACTATTTTCATTCTTGAAAACGAGTTAGTGGAAACCATGATACTTTTTTTCAGAATTCAAAGAAAGTTCAATATTTGACAAATATTTTTTAACATTATAAATAAATTTACGGACATATTTGATCAATTTACTGTTCCAGTGTTGAATGAAAAGTAATAATTAAAAAAATAATAATCTAAACTTTTGAATGGTAGTGTACATTTAGCTGACCATAAGAAAGTAACACACTGTGTACATATATTATACATTTCTTTGCTCTTAACCCTGTCCCAAAACATCACAGCCCTCTCTAGGGGAAATGTCGTCACAGTGGACTGTTTCTTACAATGCAGAGATAAGTATGAGATGAACACTGAATGACTTTTCTTGAGTGCTGATATGAGATACCTTGTCAAACACATCACGGCTGGCCTCGGGGCACAGAGTGGGGCTCCGTCCCAGCATCCTCTCTTTATGCCTCCACTCCTGCTCGGTCTGAGAGAGCTCCGCGGAGGAGGCCATGGCTCGGGCGTGCTCCTGCTCCACAGACTCTGAGCTGTGGAGCTCCAAACCACAGAGCTGGTCCTGTGCCTCGACCAGCTGCCACTGCGACGCGATCGAGGCCTTCACACAGCGCTGCTGACTCAAGCACAGAGACGCCATGCTCTCCGCACTGGGCTGTGATGGGACACAGAGAGATAACGCTCACAAAACCTCGAGCAAATCATTACAGTTGGTTTTGTAACAGATTCGGTGCGAAAGGCCCTAAAGTTAAGACACTGCCACGCCCCCCTAAAACGGCTCGTTCTAACACGCCCCCACATATCTACCTCACTATGTGGAAATAATACTACAGCGAGAATAAAAGTTACGCCTTCTTTCTTTGCGTGAACATTTGGGCGGCGTTATGCAAATCTTCCCACATAGTGATGTAGATATGTGGGGGCGTGTTGAGCCGTTTTAGGTAGGTGTGGCTGACTCTTAACTTTTATAAAGAATATCTCTTTGGATTTGAGACTTTAGTCTTTCCAACTTTACAGATCTTCTTTATGCACCAAGAGCTTGTAACACTCCAAAGAGAAAGGAAAAATTGAAATCGCATCATATGACCCCTTTAAATTTACAACTCTGAATATTTCCAAAATTCCCCAGAACAAGTTCCCAAGGAGTTTCCGGCCCCTACTGACAAGATTACATTTTAGTAGCAATAACGTTTCCTAACCTAACCTAAAAACAATTAGGCCAACGTATATTATAGTCATTGACATGGTGACAGTTTTTGCTCAGAAAAAAAAAAAATCTAATTAAAAAGGACACATTCTAATGTACTGGGGGGGGGATAGTTTGATTTAACGTTAGCATGTCAAAAAAAACAGGTCCAAACTGTTTGATATGTTTAGATCTCAAGATTATGCAGTTGCTGACTTACTATAAAGCAATGTAGTTACTCCACAGATAAAGACATCACTGTGAAGCATCAAACTCAGCAGTGAAATATCCATGGATCTAATAATAAAGCACTCGTTATCCTCAGCTGTCAGAACAAGACTGTCAACGTGAGACAGTAAACACAGGGTCATGATCTCATAGCAGAGATCCACATAACACCACTTAATGACGGTCAGCACGTTTGATTGTGATGCCCAAAACTGCTGTCTAGGCAGAGAGCTCACCTTTAAGATGCAGGCTTTCTCTTACTCATCCTGCGGTGAAGTTTTACTGCAGCATCTAACGTTACTTCTCCAGCTAACGCCGACTTTACAGTGTATTTCCGCGCCGCTTCGAGTTTAAACACAAGCTCATATAGATTAAAAGCAGAACCACAAGGCTTCGAGATGTAAATAAACGTTGTGAGCACCTCGTGTGGGTGTGCGCAGGGCGTGTTCTCCTCTCGCTCCTGTTCAGCTCGAAGCCACTCCATGTCGCTGCTTCAGCTCCGTCCTCAGCCGCGGGGCGACTCCTGCTGTCGGTACAGCTTCACACCCGAGAAGCACTCGCAGCTCAGGGGTGTGTAAGCGAGCAGAGACGGCTATTTTCAGGTTATAACATCAGCAGCACTCCTCTCTGCAGCTCTTTTTAGCTCCTTATGACAACTTCCTGCTCTGACGCGCTCACTCGTCACGTGATGTCAGACGCTAATCACATGATACAGTCCGAATACTATTCATTTATTTTATTTATTTATCTGTCTATCTACAAATGGCATATTTTAAATCAAATGTGTTTTGTCTTAGAATTTATTTTTATATTTTATATAACTATTAAAATTGAATATATTTTGTATATATATATATGGACATTGGTAATGTTATTTTCCTAGGTGAGAATATGATTTATTCCAGGAACTTTTGAATAAAAAAGATTCTGATTTGTTCACGGATTCATTCAAATGAATGAAGATTTGGAACAATAAAACATTTAATATAAAACTGTTTTTTATGTTTTAATAATTGGTTGTGAAAAAAATATGATAGAAAATGTATATAAAACTAATTATTTTTTTATAATATTAAAAATCCCTTTTTTTGTGGCTAAACTCAAGGTACTACAGAACTTTACATGAATTCTGTTCCTAGACGAAGTATCACTCTTCAACAAGAGGCTGTACACTTTCTTTATCAAATCTTCATAATGTAAAACTGGAAACAGGTCTCTTTTGAAGAAACATATGTATGATAAAATGTTAACAGTGCTGAACAGAAAACAATTTGGGTGTAGCAGTTTTGGGTGTAGTAATAATAATAATAATAATAAGAAGAAGAAGAAGAAGAAGAAGAAGAAGAAGAAGACTGTTGTTATTATTAATATTATATTATAATCACTCTAGAATCCTTGTGTCCTTTTGATTTAAAATGTTCATGTTTAAGTTTAGGTCGCATAATTATGGCATGCTGACAGCCTTTTTTCCTCTGCACTAAAATGAAAGTATTTAAAAAAATTAAAGTATTTCCAGCGAACTCGCGAGAATATTCGCGTGTCACATCGTCAGATGTCTGTAGTGAACATTCCCGAATGTAATGGTTCCGCCCGGATATATGGAAGGATTATCTAGCAGACAGTTTTCTCGGTGGTTGACTTCAACATTATTTGAGTAAGTTGAATGTTCACAACTAACACTGACTCAGTCAGAACATGTAAATATGACCGTCTTGTTTTTAACACCAGTAGTTGTCAGCTTGTTTATATCTGTACGCTCATGTTTTCATGCTAGCACGCTGACATTAGCCGCCACTTAATCGCTGAAATTCACATTTTGTGATGCTGCGTGAACGAAAAACTCGAACAAATGTCCTTTTTAGAGTGTATTGACTGTTCTCGTTTCAAAATATAGAAATTACGTCTTTCTGGGCGAAGTTTATGTGAAAGTACTTCTGATTTAATTAGTAATTTTATTCTTACCCAAAGTCATAAGTTTGGTTTTCAACTTATAGCTCCTAGTTAAAGGGGTCATATGATGTTGCTAAAAAGAACATTATTTGGTGTATTTGGTGTAATGAAATGTGTTTATGCGGTTCAAGGTTCAAAAAACACATTATTTTCCACATAATGTACATTATTGTTGATCCTCTATGCCCCGCCTTTTTGAAACGCGTCGATTTTTACAAAGCTCATCGGTCTGAAAAAGCGAGGTGTGCTGTGATTGGCCAGCTATCCAGAGCGTTGTGATTGGCCGAATACCTCAAGCGTGTGACAGAAATGTTACGCCCCTCACCGCGGCGTTATGCAAATCTTCCCACATCGTGACGTAGATATGTGGGGGCGTGTTAGAACGAGCCATTTTAGGAGGGCGTGGACAAGTCTTAACTTTTATAAAGAATATCTCTTTGGATTTGAGACTTTAGTCTTTGCAACTTTACAGATCTTCTTTATGCACCAAGAGCTTGTAACACTCCAAAGAGAAAGGAAAAATTGAAATCGCATCATATGACCCCTTTAAATCTCTGGTGTAAAACATCCTACAAAAGATGTATTTATTGAGAATGTGTGTTAGAAATATCCTGTTTAATGGCATTTGATGTTGTACAATAAATATCAAGCAATACATTTGGTTGAAAGCGTCATTATGTAAAGAGACGTCAGTGTGAATAAATGAGGCATAATGAGTGCGGAATGACTCGCTTTGATCAGTTCATCTGAGCGCGTGAAGTTTGGCTCCACTCGCGACCGAAGCGTGACATCCACCGTCATACACGAGTTCTGTGTGTGCCATGAAAAACAAGGTCATTTGAAGAAAATGTCTCACATGGGAATAATATTAAAAAAAAATTCTTCTAAGACAAAGACAAAGCCAAAAAAAACAAAAACAGGACGTTATATTAACTAAATTAAATATTTATTATACTAATTTAATTATATTTTACATTTTATGTTGTCATTTTTTTGCTATTTTGACATTTTCAAAGATGATTTTTTAAAATGTTGTTTTTGAATATTTTTGCTCACCAAGGCTGCATTTATTTGATCAAAAATGCTGTTAGAACAGTAAAATTGTGAAAATTATTGCAATTTAAAACAACTGTTTTCTATTGTAATATCTTGTAAAATGTAGTTTATTTCTGTGATCAAAGCTGAATTTTCAGCATCATTACTACTGTCTTCAGTGTCACATGATCCTTCAGAAATCATTCTAATATGCTGATTTGCTGATCAAGACACATTTCTGATTATTATCAACGGTAAAACATTTTTTGCTGCTTAATATCTTTGTGGGAACTAGTTTGGGTCAGTAAAATAACACACACACACATACGTGTATATGTATATATATATATATATATATATATATATATATACACACACACAAAAGATACAATATATATATATATATATACACGCACACCAAGGATACATTATATTGATCAAAAGTGATAGTAAAGACATTTATAATGTTGCAAAAATGTTCTATTTCAATTAAATGCTGTTAATTGAACATTGTTTTCATCAAATAATGTATCACCGTTTCCACAAAAAAATATTAAGCAGCATTTATAATAATGTGAACCATTATTATTATCTGAGCACCAATATTAATTGATAACAATTGAGCACCAAATCAGAATATTAGAGTAATTTCTGAAAGGATCATGTGCCACACTGAAAATTCAGCTATATATATATGTACACACACACATTTTTTTTTGGTGTACTAGACTAGAGAACAAGTACCTTTCTAAGCAGTCTTTGAATAGTGAAAGGTTCATTACACACACACACACACACACACACAAATATATTGTATATTATTTTGCCTCCATAGTATTAATTTAATCAAAGATTAAAAGCTAGGCTTATTAACAGCCTTGTACAGTACGGAGCAGGATTTGATGTTGTGTGAGACATCTGTGTCCACTAGATGTCAGTGAAGACCAGAGGAGATGTGAGTGAGCGTCAGGAGCGAGAGCTTTGGAGTTCAGTGCCAGGAGCTTCCCCTGAGACTGCTGAGAGAAACAGTCCAGGCTCCTGACCAAAAAAACCAAACATCCTCAGCCTCAAAAGCATGTCGCCTAGCCAGCTGGCAGACTGCCCTTCCTAGGGCTGCTGTTCCCACAGGGAGGGAGACGTGTTTGTGTGTGTGAGAGACTCAGACGTGTACATGTGGGTACTGACACCTGAGGCACTTGTTCACATGTTGTTCAACACGAATCACTTCAACTGTTCAGTCGACAAACTAGGGAAAAAAAACCTTTGTTACATGTTTCCTCTCATAATCTGAAGGTAAATCTTACCCCTGAAGCATTGCGAATACAATGGGAATGACATATAACACTTTTTTTGTGAGTAAACTGTTGCTGACTTGGGAAAGACTGCCTGAGAATGTGTGAGAACTCACTGAAACGACTCGCATGTCGAGCAACATTAAGAGCAGCTGCCAAACTGCACATTTTTGGGGATTGTTACATTGGAAAAAAATAATTTTCATTTTACACTCATTTGTTTGAGGACATCTAGCAAGTCCTGCTGTAACTTCTCAGCCTGAGAGACAGAGCTAGGCATTCTGAAGTCATGGGAAGAGTTTTTTTCGGTTACAAACCGGTGATAATTGTTATTAAAAATCCACTAGGCAGAAGAATTATGCAATATTAGACGTGTTAGAGTCTCCTATGCATGTTGAAGCCTGTTAAGCAGATCTGTGTTGGGAATCAGATTTTACATGCATTTTACAATCATAACAATGCGTCGGTTCTTTTGTGCAGGGTGTGGAAGTGTCGAGTTTAGACAGCGCCACCAGGTGTACAACAATGAACCTGGAAGGACAATCAAAAGGTACATTTCAAACATTATTCGACCCTTGGATATTGTGTGCTAATGCAAGCATGATTATTACTGACTCATTCCTAGCCATCATTATTAGAACTTCTTACCATAAGTATTTGAGTGAATGTGAAATTTAAAATGGGATACACATATATTGGTACCATGTACTGGTTAGTGGCCATTTTTCAAGTATTTATTTATTTATTTTCATTTATCAAAATATACATCCATATACACTAACATTCAGAGGGTTGGGTCAGTAAGTTTTTTTTTTGAAGTTGTTATTCTGTAAGGATGCAATAACATTTATCAAAAGAGACAGTAAAGACATTTTTTATATTTCTATTTTAAATAAATGCTGTTCTTTTGAACTTTCTTTTCAAAGAATATAAAAATAGTAAGTATCATAAAATATTAAGTTTCCAAAAAATATTCAGTAGCACAACTGTTTTCAAAATTGATAATCATAAATGTTTCTTGTTCAGCATATTAGAATGATTTCTGAAGGATCATGTGACTGAAGACTGTAGTAATGATGCTGAACATTCAGCTTTGATCACAGGAATAAATTACATTTTACAAGATATTACAATAGAAAAGTTACTTTAATTTGTAATAGTATTTCACAGTATTGCTATTTTTACCATATTTTTGATCAAATCAATGTAGCTGTGGTGAGCATAAGAGACTTCTTTCAAAAACATTAAAAAAATCTTACCAGCCCCAAACTTTTAAATTGAATTATGTACATTTACTATACATTATAATTTTGTGATTCTTAACAAGTCCACTTGTTGCATTTAAAATTGTATTATTATTATTTATTTATTTATTTTATTTATTTATTGCATTTTTGGTGTT